AGGCATGGTGGTCTGACATTAGACTCCTCAGGTCAAAGGTGACTCATAGTTTTGCTTCTGAAAGACCAATTAGTTCCTTCAGGGGCCCTATTCTCCTCACTCTTCAGTCTCCTTCCATCCAAACAGGGAGATTAGGACTCATTTCTTTTTTTTTTTTTTTCTTTTTCTTTCATTTAAAAAAATATATTTTATTGATTTTTTTACAGAGAGGAAGGGAGGGAGATAGAGAGCTAGAAACGTCAATGAGAGAGAAACATTGACAAGCTGCCTCTTGCACACCCCCCACCGGGGATGTGCCAGCAACCAATGTACATGCCCTTGACAGGAATCGAACCTGGGACCTTTCAATCCACAGACCGACTCTCTACTGCTGAGCCAAACTGGTTTCGGCTACTCATTTCTTACTTGTTACCACTATGCCTTATTCAGAGAAAGCAGGACAGTTACTTTCTTTTTTATTTCATGTGTGTATGCCTCATCCAGTCAGTGGCCAGAGAAAAGGAACAGCATATGAGCAGATGTGGTGACAATGGTAGTGACAGCAGCGCCACAGGCAGCTCATTAGGTCTAACAAACCCTTTTTCCTGCAACCCCATCTTTCAGCCTCAGGTCCTCCTCCCTCCAAAGGAGCTGACTCCCTTTTGTTCTGCCCAAACCACAGTTCCTGGTGGAAAAAAGAAACTATGGTAGCTTGAATTTGAAGCCAGTATCAAGTGATAGAATAGGTTTAAAATAATGCATGAGGCCATAAACTCTTAATGATTCAATCTTTCAGCAGCCCTGAGACACTAGAGAAAATCCAGCTCTAAACCCCACTTGTCAATTGCCAACACCACCAACAGTGGTCTCTTTGTTCTTCTTATCAGCCTGAATAATTATGTTGTGGCAAATGTACCCTTTCACTAGTTCCTTCCTTTAAAAGGCTCCTCTGAGAATGAATAAGCCAGGTGGGCCCAAAGAGTTGACTCGATCTTTTCTACCTTAGAGCTGGCTTTGCCCTTCATGAATGATTGATTTAAAATGTTACAGATTCTGCTCATGAGATGCTGCAGAGGCACTGGGTCTCTCCCTAGCTGAGGTTTTCTAACCCTAAGCTCATCCCACCACTTGCCTAAGAGATTGGTTAAGGATACTGATCTCTTAGAACCCTGGGAACCAGATAAGATATCAAGATGCTATTGTGACCATTTTCCTGCTTCTAGACTAAGACAAGCCAGATGGGCAAGAAAATCTTTTATTTAGTAAAATAATTTTTAAAAAGCTTTTTTGCAATAGTGATTTATAGCCTGCTCTTACCCCTGTGTTGAGAATAAAAATGGTGCTTCCCTCCAAGAAAATTTTCAAGACCATTAGGTAAGGCTGATAACTCCACTGTCCACTCTTCTCTAATAAAGTCATGTATAAAGTCACTTTCAAGCATTTGAAAATATTTTCCAAAGGAATTTACAATTTATTTCTTATTTAATTCAGTTAGATTGACATGTAATTTACATGTAACATTACATAAATTTAAGGAGTACATCATAATTATGTGATATACGTATATATTGCAAAATGATTACAACTTTAAGTTTAGTTAACATTTGTCATCTTATTTAATTATAATACTTTTCCTGTAATGAAAACTTTAGAAATCTACTCTCTTAGCAACTTTCAAATATGCAGTACAGTACTAACTGTAGTCATCATGCCATACATTACATTCCCACAACATATAACTGAAAGTTTGTACCCTTTGATCATCTTCACCTATTATTCTCACCTTCCACCCGCTGCCTCTGGAAACCATCAATCTGTTCTCTGCTCTACTATTTCAGTTTCTTTAGATTCTTCATATAAGTGAGATCATATAGTACTTGTTTTCCTCTTTCAGAGTTATTTCACTTAACACAATGCTATCAGGATTCATCCATGCTATTATAAATGGCAACATTTCATTTTTTTGTGGTTTAATAGTATACTATAATATACACCTCACATTTTTAAAAATTCATTCATCCATCAGTGGATACTTAGGTTGTTTCCATGTCTTGTCTATTGTAAATAATGCTGCAATGAACATGAAGGTGAAGATATCAGTTCAAGATAGCAATTTCATTTTTTAATTTTTATTTATTTTTTACTTTATTTTTAAATTTCTTTATTAATTAAGGTATCACATATTTGTCCTCAACCTCCCATTCCAATCCCCCACCCCTCCCCATTCATACCCCCACACCCCTATTGTCCTTGACCACTGGTTAGGCTCATATGTATGCACACAAGTCCTTTGGTTGATCTCTCCCTTTTATCCCCACCCTCCCTTTGAGGCCCAACAGTCTGACCCATGGCTCTTTATCTCTGGGTCTGTTCTTGTTTATCAGTCTATGTTGTTCACCATTTCTCCTAAATGAGTGAGATCATGTCCTACTGGAAATATACTTATAAGAATGAAAAATGAGACAAGCAATAATTGTTATGCTGAAAGGCAAATGAATCAGTCTGTAGTGAGTTTCTTTCTGGGCCATCAGTTCTTTTGAGACCCAATTTCAATGTCAAACAGTTCCTTATGTGTACATGTTAGCAATGATATTTCAGTTCTGGATGGTGGACAAATGGTGGTAATGCAGGTCCAACCCTCTCTGGTTTGGTTCTGGGCAACCTGCAGTGATACATAGCTGCTGACTGCTATTCTGCCAAGGCGTTGTCAGTATCTTTCATCTGTGGACTGCTTCTGTTCTGTCTTCATGGTTGGAGTAGTCCTGTCAATTCTTCTCTGTTGCTGGACTCCACATGGTCTCAGAGTTGTTTTCTGAAAATATGCAAACATATTCTAGACCAAAGTTGATAAAGGAATATTTTCTATAAATTTGACTTGGGATCCTTTTTCATTTTTTGCCCAAATGATTTTCCTCTGGCATGTTTTGACACCATGTGTGTTTTTCATGAGTGTTTTGCTGTTAGCATGACAATTAATTTTCTAAAGTACAAATTTTCTAGATGTGATTTACTTATAGGATATTTTTCCTTACATGATATTCTTCTACTTTCCCCCCTTTTTTATTTAAATATTAGGAGGCTTTTGAAAATTTTATAATGTAGTTTTGATAGTTTTTAAATATTAATTTTTTGCACAATAATATGACTGCTTTAGGTTCATTTCCTGTTGTGAGATTTTATCTTGAGATGAACTACCAATAACAATTTTAGTTAACACTTTAGGAACAGCTTTTTGTCCAGTGCAATTAATTTTTCTAGAATATTTGCTTATTTCAATTAGCCAATTTAAATTAGCCTGAAAACTTGTCTACTATTTTACTGTCATATTTATTATTCTAAAACAATTTTATTTTACCATGTAAATATTAGTAGAAAGGATTATTTGCCTTCTTGAGTAGGCCCTGAGCATTCCTGGTGGTAGGCTAGATTTAGATATCAAAAACCCACTTCACCACACTATGGGTACAAGACCACTCAAACAAATCTTATTGTAGTGAGAGGGCAGCTGCTGTCAGCCAAGTCTCTGTCTTTTACCCGGGTCCCGATTTGAGCTGGGCATAAGAAGTTAAGCATTCCTGGGGGCAGGAGACTCCCTCAGCAGGGGTGAGGGTTCAGGCTCCTGCACAGTTGGGGGGTAAGGGTCTTTGCCCCACCTCAGTTGACCCCCAAGTTCTCTCCTGATGGCCCCTCTTTGACTGTGCCTGTCTTAGGTTGTTTCTTCCCTGAGAAATCTTACCTGTCTCTGGCTAACCAGCCATCCTCTGGGGCCAAGCAGGGTGATGTGAGGTTCAGTTTTGTCTCCCTGGCATCCTATGCCCCCAAGGCCTCCACATCCAGTTCCTGCCTTAGGATCTCCTCACCTGCTGGCAGGGCCCCAGCACTGATCACATACCTTGGGGAACCCAGGTTTCTTCTCCAGGGAGGGCCCAGCTTGCCCCACTGGGTGAGAGACAGATCCATGGTACCAGTCATCATGAGGCTTTAACCTCCACAAGAACAGAAAGCTCAGGCAGCTGCTGTGGGCAATTGGATTGTGAGAAGAGTGTCCCTCTTGGCCAAAAGAGCCAGAGAGACCCATATAGAATGCTCAGGTGCCTTCCCAGGAGGCTCTCTACACAATGGAATGGATCAAATCCTTTCATGTCCTTTTTACATTTCTGTCAGACATTCAAAGAGCTATTTGTAAGTTTGCTTGGGATAATTGTATATTGTTCTATTGTAATTCTAGAATATCAAGAGATGTGTTACCTTTGTCTCCAAGCACAAAAAATATGATTTTTTTATTGATCCCCAAGGGTATGAGGTACTATTATAGGTAATGGGGGTAACAAAAATATGGGGAAAAAATTTAATGACATTGTAGAATAATATCATGTAAGGGTATTCTTTATTCTAGGCCATGGCAATTCCATTTCATACTGGCAGTCCATTTCTTTTTCTATAGACCAGGTCTTAATTACATTTTCTGCACCTCTCTAAGGAGCTAGTAGTTATAGTAGTGACACCCTTTCTTTGGTGTCCACACAAGCCAGAAATCTCTCTTTAATTTTTCACAAAAAGGAGTAGTAGTTTGATTTTGTGTCATACAAAAGGGAAGCTGGGTGGAGATCCCTGTATAATTATACTTTCTTGCCCCTCCCATGGTCATCCTGGCTGACCAAGGTGTTTGGTATTATTGGTGACTACATTAGGCAAGGGTCAGCCCATGTAAGGGGTCTTACCTGTGAAATGTCAGGAGCATAGTGAAATAAGCAGGCAGAGAACGATAAATATCACATAATCTCACTGATTTGTGGAATATAATGAACAACATAAAATGATGGGGAAATATATATATCCAGAGACAGAGAAATGCCAATCAGAACGTATAACCTCAGGGAAGAAATTGTGAGGTAACCAGAAACCCAAGAATGCCTGAGAACGCCTTTCTAGCCATTCTAGCAATCATCAGATGTATGGTAATATTACCTGGGGCAAATGGGGGAGTATTTTGGACTTAGGCTCCTGACATTTCATTTTTTTTAAATATGGAACACTTTATGTATTTAGGTGTCATCCTTGCACAGGGGCCATGCTAATCTTCTCTGTATTGTTCCAATTTTAGTGTATGTACTGTTGAAACAAGCACAAGATAGTGATTTCATTTTCTTTGGCTATAAACCCAGAAGCAAAATCACTAGTTCATATAGTACTTTTATTTTTAATTTTTTTGAGTAAAGTTCATATTGTTTTGCATAATGGCTGTACCAATTTACATTCCCATCAATAATGTACAAGGGTTCCTTTTTCTGCACGTCCTCACTAGCACTTGTTATCTCTTGTCTTTTTTTTAAAGTTTTTTCTTCCTTTTTTAAATATGTTTTTATAGATTTGAGAGAGAGAGAGAGAGAGAGAGAGAGAGAGAGAGAGAGAGAGAGAGAGAGAGAGAGAGAGAGGAAGGGGGATGGATAGAGAGATAGAAACAGCAATAGGTTGACTTCTGCATACCCCCTACTGGGGATCAAGTTCACAACATGGGCATGTGCCCTGACTGGGAATCAAACTGGTGACCTCCTGGTACATTGGTTGATGTTCAACCACTGAGCCTCACAGACCAGGTTCTCTTATCTATTTAATAATAGTCATCCTAACAGGTGTGAGGTGATATCTCATTGCAACTTCCATTTGCATTTTCCTGATGATATATAGTGATGTTGAGAACCCTTTTATATACCTATTGGCCCTTTGAATATCTTTTTATTTGGAAAAAAGTCTATTCAGGTTCTTTTTCCATTTTAAAATTGGATTTTTGTTTTTGTTTTTGCTACTTAGTGGTATATGTTCCTTATATATTTTGGGTATTAACCCTTTAGCAGATAGGTGATTTAAAAATATTTTCTCCCATTCTGTAGGTTGACTTTTTCACTTTGTTGATGGTTTTCCTTGCTGTGTAGAAACATTTAGTTTGATATTATCCTACTTGTTTCTTTTTGCTTATCTTGTTTGTGTTTTACATGTCAAATCCAAAAAAATTGCCAAGAATAATGTCAAGGAGCTTTCACTAGTTTCCTTCCAGAAGTTTTATAGTTTCAGCTTACATTTAAGTCTAGTCCATTTCAGGTTAATTTTGTAAGTAATGTAAGATAGGGGTCTAGTTTCTTTCTTTGGCATGTGTATATCCTATTTTCTCAACACAATTTATTAAGAAGAGATTGTCTTTTTTCTGTTTAATATTATCAACTTCCTTTTCAAATATTAATTGACTGTATATGCATGGGTTTATTTCTGGACTCTTGATTCCATTCCATTGGTCTATGTGTGAACATCTTAACCAAAGGATTACTGGATGGCAATCCTATAATAAAGTGAGCATGAAAGCACACTCTCTTCCAGTTGAGCTTGGGGGTGAAAATAATCCTTGCTAGCACCTCATGAGAAACCCTGAAGCAGAACCACCCAGAAAAGTTTCTCCTAGATTCCCGAACCCCAGAAATTGTGAGGCAATTATTGTTTACTGTTTGTAGCCACTTGTTAAGTAACAATAACTGATACAGCAGGTGCACAGGCAAGGACTTATCTATAACAAAAGCATAATATGCTAATTAGACTGGACATCCTTCCAGACGTCCTTCCGGATGACCTTCCGGATAAAGCCTGGGTTGCAAGGGAAGCCAGGGACCTAGGTGCCTGCCAGCGGCTGGAGAGAAGCCAAGGTCCTGGGTGCCAGAGGGAAGCCAGTGCTGGAAGCCGGGGGAAGAAGGGCCTACTCTTGTATGATTTCCTGCATTGGGCCTCTAGTAGGCTAATATGAAATACTGTAGAATTAAGGTTATAGTACTGTCTTATAGTAGGATGGAGGTATCATCTGACTTCTGGTTCCACTTAACTTTAGGTTAGGTCATAAATGTTCATAGTGTCATTAGGAAGTAATATGGTCAAGAGGAGATAGCTTATCCAATCACGGGAACTTTGCAATGGATGAGTTAGATTGTGGAGGCAGTACATTGTTCCAAAGTTCTTTGCAGCCTTCCAAACTATCCTTCCAGACAGTCCTCAAGACTTTGCAGATGGTTTCATCAGATAAGGCAGACATATCATCATGTCAATAAATATGTGGTCATTATATTTCCTTTGGCTTCAATTAAATAGTGATTGATTTCCAAGATTATGAGCCATTAATAAGCTTTCCTATTAAGTCTCTTTCTATAGCCCGATAAATTTACATCTAATATAAAAATTTCTGATGGTTTTTAGGCCATTTTGAGGGTAATCAAAAGTCTTTGGAGTCACAGAGCAGATGCAAACCAAGTCATAGTATATGCAAATGACCTGAAAATGAACTCTATAAACATATTGTGGAGCCCATCTGACTTCCCATCCAGAACATTGCTATTCAGATTTTTATCATTATCATTATCTTTGCTTATTCTAAATTCTTTACTTTAGAGTGTATTTTATATAAGCATCTTATCTAATAAAAGAGTAATATGAAAATTGACCATAAATCGGCTATACCCACAAGTCATGCCCACCAGCCAATCAGAGCAAATATGCAAATTAACCCCAACCAAGATGGCATCAGCCACAGAGAGCAGGTGGGAGGCGTGGGTTTCCCAGGCAAAGGAAGAACCCAAGTTTTCCACCTGCCCTTGCCAGCCTAAACCTCCACTCAAGGTTACAAAGTTTCAATTATAGAAGGTAAACAAATACAAGCAGAAAGGGCAGCAGCCATGGAGCAATCAGAAGGCTTAGCTCAGCTCCAGGCAAAAAGTTTCAATTGTAGAAGGTAAATAAATTGCAGATACCAGGGCTTCCGCATGGGTCACCTGGGGTCATGGCTGGCCTGCAATCCACCACAGGACCCTTGCCCAGGCCACCCCACACTCCAAGTGAACCCCCACCCTGATCCGGAACACCCTTCAGGGCAAACCAGCTGGCCCCACTTGTGCAACAGGCATCTATCCTATCTAATAAAAGAGTAATATGCAGATTGACCATCACTCCAACACACAAGATAGTTGCCACCATGTGGTCAAAGATGGCTGCCCCCATGTGGATACAAGATGGCCACCACAAGATGGCCAGCAGGGGAAGGCAGTTGAGAAGCACCAGGCCTGCAAGGGAGGCAGTTGGAGGTGATTAAGCCTGCAGGTGAGGGCAGTTAGGGGTGACCAGGCTATCAGAGGAGGGAAGTTGGGGGCAAACAGGCTGGCAGGGGAGCAGTAGACATCAATCAGGCTGGCATGGGAGTGGTTATGTGGTACTCAGGCTGGCAGGCAGAAGTGGTTAGGGGCACTCAGGAAGGCAAGCAGACGAGCCATTTGGAGCCAGCAGTCCTGGATTGTGAGAGGGGTCCCAGATTAGAGAGGGTACAGGCTGGGCTGAGGGACACCACCACCCCTCCTCGCCCCCCAGCCCCTGTGCACAAATTTCATTCACCGGGCCTCTAATGCAAAATAAAAGGGTTAGTTTAACAATACAAAATCACTTGTGAGGGAGAAACCAAGATGGCAGCATATGTAAACACCTAACTGCTGCCATGCACAACAATTTCAGAACTACAACTAAAAGACAAAACAGACATCATTCAGAACCACAGGTAGGCTGGCTGAGTGGAAATTATACACTAGAAGGAAAGATAAAAGCACACAGACTCAGGAGCTGCAGCAGGCAGGGAAACTGAGGTGCGTGGGTGAAGAGGACTGACAACTGAGTGTGTGGCTGGCTCTCTCAAGGGGGTGGGAGACAAATGCTCCTGATTGCACGGAACTCCAGTTCTGGGTGAGACTCTGGGTACCCAGACTCATTCGGAGAGAAACTGGACTGTCTGGAAGTGGTTGGAACTTGAGGGCGGCTTTCTCTCAGAGATGCTTACAGTGATTACCATGGGACACTGAGACACAGGGGCCTATTAGGGCAGGGCTGCTGGGAAACCAATGCTATCTTCTCTGCCCTGAGACTCCTCCCTATCTAAGCTGAGCACAGTCTTTTGCAGGTCTTGTCTCATAAGGGTGTCTCCAGCACAGAAGTTCTCCCAGCATAGACACAACTGATCCTCACAACCAATTGACCTGGAGGTCAATTACTCCCAGTGATACCAACAACAACAAGGCTTAACTACAACAAGACTGTCCACACAGCCCACAAAGAGATGCAGCAAGAGTGTCCACGTCAGGTAACTGGGAGGCTAAGCCACTGGGCCCTATAAGACACCTAGCACACAAAGCCACTCTGTCAACTCAGGGAAGCAGCCAAGATGAGGAGGCAAAAAATCAGATCACAAATGAAAGAAATGGAGGAAATCAAATGACTGGATATAGAGTTCAAAACCACTGTTATAAGGTTTTTCAAGATTTTTCTAGAAAAGGCTGATAAATTTAGGAAGACTCTCAAGATATGAAAAGGACCAACTAGAAATTAAACATACACTGACTGAAATAAAAAAATTATTACATAGAGGTCTAAAAGCAGACTAGAGGATGGCAAGAATCAAGTCAAAGATTTGAAATACAAAGAAGCAAAAAACACTCAACCAGAAATGCAAAATGAAATAAGAATCCAAAAATATAAAGATAGTATAAGGAGCCTCTGGGACAACTTCAAGAGTACCAACATCAGAATTGTGGGGGTGTCACAAGAAGAGAGAAAACCTATTTGAAGAAATAATGACCAAAACCTTCCCCCACCTGGTGAAAGAAATAGACTTACAAGTCCAGGAAACACAGAGAACCCCAAGCAAAAGAAATCCAAAGAGGACCACACCAAGACACATCATAATTAAAATGCCAAGGGCAAAAGACAAAGAGAGAATATTAAAAACAGCAAGAGAAAGACAGTTAGTTACCTACAAGAGAGCACCCATATGATTGTCAGCTGATTTCTCAACAAAAACTATGCAGGTCAGATGGGAGTGGCAAGAAATATTCAAAGTGATGAATAGAAAGAACCTACCACCAAGATTACTCTATCCAGTAAAGCTACCATTCAGAATTGAAGGGCAGATAAAGAGCTTCACAGATAAGAAAAAGCTAAAAAAGTTCATCACCACCAAACCAGGATTATATAAAATGCCGAAAGATATTCTTTAAGAAGAGGAAGAAGACGCAAAACGTAAAGATAAAAATTGTGAACAACAAATACATATCTATC